AGCCAGCATGAATTGAAGTCCACTCATCTTAAAGTGGCCAAGTTTGGACAACACTGGCATAGAGGATTGCAGCGGAAACACCTTCATAGCTCTGCACGTGAACCCAGGTTCCCACTTCCAGCCAGATGCGCTATTCTTTGCCAGCTGAAATGCGGGAAGCGCATCTCTTCCCAGGGAAACAGTGTAAAGAACAGCGGGACTTTTTTGCTCCGGCAAAGGCAGGGAAGCGGGTTGTGAGAGATTTCTGTTTGTCAGGAATACGGGAGAAGGAGAACGAAGGGCCCCCATGTAGGACTGCAAGTACTACCCGCTGAAACCACAGAGGGGGGCCATGCTAGTGATTCCTGCCTGTCCAGAGGCAACAGTACGAATCAGCTTTCAGTTGGAGCTTCATGAGATTAAGCTGCTTCAAATCATACCTGCTTCACACCTTGGCCACACAGTACCAGGAAAGTGCCATTTGCAATGGATAGGGAAAAAAGTGTTACTTTTCCCCTGCCTGTCTCTGTTCCGCTCCTCCTGTTTCTACCACGGCTGTTCCAGGTGCTTTCCCCCCAGCTAGGTTTCCAAGACATGCTGCCTTCACTAGTACAGTTCTGACCTCGGGTTAGGAGAAGTAACAACAGAAGGGAAGGATGTGGATGAAGACCTGGCAATTCTAGTCTTGCAGTTTCCTGAAGATATTGGAGTGGCCCTCCCTGTCCTGGTCTGCAGAACGTCAGTGAAGGCTTGGTCATTCCAGCAAATCTTCGGGGCTGGGCTGCTGGTTTATTGTGCGGAAGGCTGATTCCCCGTTTTACAGAGCTACAGTATTTACAATGTAGAATTTGAGCATTAAACTTGATTATCTGTTTGTGTCTATTCCCAAATTGCAGCTTTTGTGGAGTCGTGTGCCACTCAGATGACTACAGGGGCCTATAAGCCTTGTAAATAAATAAGAAAAAATGCATTGTTTCTGGCTTCTGCGAACATGACCTATGCTGTCCAATTTACTTAACCTACTAAAGACCAGCCCTCCTCTTGTTTTTAAGGCCAAATAAGAACCATTTCTAGTTTCACTTCCAGTGGTACAAGTAGAAGTTTAGCACAGCAACTTTTTTCTGTCTGGTGTCTCTTCCCTCAGTGGGTCGAAAGTGTTCGTATACAAGATTGGGCAGTCAGAGGGCCTGTATATATTTTTGTGATTCCATCTTTCTGTAGTCTGGGTTTTTTTCTTCCCCCAAAGCAAACCTGCATTGTGTGGCTTCTGATACAACACTGCAGAATTGGAGTCTGACACCTCAGAATGGTCAGCAAGGTTTCTCAACCTTGGCGAGATATGTGGACTTCAAGTCCCAGAATTTCCCAGCCAGCATGCTGGCTGGGGAATTCTGGGAGTTGGCGTCCACATATCTTAAAGTTGCTAAGGTTGAGAATCACTGAGTCACAGCATCATAGGGCAGGAAGAGATTTTCAAGGTCTTCCAGTTCAACCCCCTGCCCAGTGCAGGAATTGTCAGGCCATCCCAGACAACGGGCTCTCCCATCAAACACCACATCTCAGGCTTCCAACGTTGCTTTTCATGCCTCTTTTTTTACCCCCAATTTTTTAAAAAGTGGATAGAATGAATGTCACTTAATTCAGCGGGTTAAGTCAGGTCGTAGCACCCTGGATGTCTTAACTGCAGGCTGAAGATGGGATCTGGGCTAGTGCAATTTGTTATGCCGGAGAGAGAAGAGCTGCCCCTGGCAAACTACTGGAGAGCCAGGGTCGTTCTTCTCCTTGGCATCTGGATGCCCCCGTTTGTTCCCCTTGTCCTCCTGGGCAGGGTCAGGAACCTCCCATTCGGAGTGGCCTGCAGAGATCCTGATGCAACCTTCTGTTTGAGGTGGACGGGCGGTGGGATGGGGGTCGGGGCAGAGAGAGAAAAGGGAGACAAAAGCAATGGGAAATAACCTTAAGAAAATGCTCAGATGTTCGTGTCAAACCCTGGGAGAAAGGCCAAAAGGAGGTTTCGAGGAACAAACAAAGCTGCCTGTCAATTAGGGGAGGTGAAGCTGAAGCTAATGGCTCCCCTGCCAGAAGAGATGAAATAAGGGGAGAAAAGAGCCGGGAACAACACAAAGGGGGTGGACAGTGATTGTGCAGCTAAAGCTTGGGGTGCACGTGCTCCTGCCTGGAACAAAACAGACCCCCCCCCAAAAAGGAGGGCTCTCGCTGGCTAAGGCAACCAGTCAGGGCTTCTTTTACAGGCAGGCTGGACCCTCGACATCCAGTTTCTGCAAACTGCAGAACAGCCTTTTGACAGCCTGCCCCAAAGCAACCCCTTAACATGTGTGGGGACTAACATGCCCATAGGACCCAATCCATGGGGAAGAGGGTGGGAATTCTGGGAGATGTAGTCCCCAGACATCTGGAGGTTGCCAAGTTAGGAAAAGGTGCGCTACCTAGTTGCAAGTTTGATGGGAAAGAGCACAGGTATCCACAGAATAGTCAAAAAAGTGTCAAGATGGCAGCCATGATGGTGTGATCAAAGCCCCACCTATTTTTTTATGTGGGCTGCACCTCTGAAAAAAGCCACTTAAAAAAAATCCCCCAAAGGCGCTCAAGTTTGTGCTGCCCGTACAGGACAGAGATTTCTGCTGCTTCTTCCAGGATATCCCTGTTATCCACTCCCTGGATATCACTGTT